CCGCAGCCAGAACCTGGGGATCAAAGCACCGTCCTGGCTGGAGACCGTCCGCCCAGGGGAGTGTGTGATGAAGTAAGAGGAGGCTGAGCTGGATTCAGACCAGATCTGGCCTCTGTTGGGCCTCAGGGAACTCAGTAGTTTTAGTTTTGTGCCGTAGGGCTTGTGAACTCGCCACTGGAAGGAATCAGACACAGAGAAAGTAAGAAATCATGGGAACCAGCAGTTAGCGTAATGGCTATGTTGCTGGACTCCCACGTAGTTGACCACGGTTCACGTCCCGGACCTGGTGGCTTAAAACTCACGCCGAGCCGCGTGTGCATGCGTGTCCAAGATCCCGAGAGAATGGAGGAGAAGGGATTGCGGCGTGTCTATCCCCCCGGGGGTGATTTCTCGCTTTCTGTCTGTCTCTGTCTGTCTGGCGAGCGCACACGCCCTATAGTGAAAACCTCTCAAAAAAAAAAAAGAAAGAAATCATAGCAGCTCCATTCTCGGGCCTTTAGGCATGCACACATATGTGCCTGGAGCATCCTTTTTAAATTTTTTTAAGAATTACTATTTTTTCACATGAGTTTTGCCAGAGAAAGAGGAAGAGTGAGAAAGCAAACTTTTAGATCTGGGACTCAAACTGCAGTCAGCCATGTGGGAATTCCAGTGCCTTAACCACCAGGCCACCTGCTGGCCCCTCTATTTTTAGTCTTAAAAATTATTTGGGACCAGCAGAGGGTGCAATGGTTACATTGCTGGACACACCCACATGGCTGAGAACAGTTCGAGTCCCAGACCTGGGGGCTTGCTTTCTCACTTTTCTTGTGTGTGTATGTGTGTGTGTGTGTGTGTGTGTGTGTGTGTGTGGTCAAATTAAAATAAAATGAATGAATAAATGAAATAAAAATAATTCTTTAAAAATTTTTATCTATTTGGGACCAGCAGAGGGCGCAATGGTTACGCCTCTGGACTCCGACATAGGTGATGGATGATTCAAGTCCCAGACCTGGTGGCTTAAACCTCATGCCAGGCACATGTGCGTGCAGGCCCAAAATCCCAAGAGGAGAATGGAGGAGAAGGGATTGCTGCACGGCCATCCCCCGCAAGGGGTGATTTCTCACCTTCTGTCTCTGTCTCCAGTGAGCACACACACTCTGTAGCAAAAAATCTCTTTAAAAAATAAAAGGAATTATTTTTATTATTATTTTAATTCACCAGAGAGAGAGAGAGAAGGAAAGCGAGGAAGCAAGTTGCTCGATCTGTAGTCAACCGGGTAGGGGTCCAGAACCTTAACCACTGTGCTACCCGCTAGCCCGTAAATGTAGTTCCTTTGTTTGTTTATATGTTTAGGTTTTTGCCACTGGATGGATTCACACTCCAGAGAGAGATTGGTTCCACAGTCAGCCATGTAGGATTCCTGTACCTTAGCCACCACGCCCCCTGCTGGTCCCGTAAATGGTTAGTATTTTTAAAGACTGACGGCAGGCAGGCCAGAGGCAGAGCCAGTGGGGAGGCTGGCACAAGTCAGCCACCCAGTGGTGGGTCTGAGAGGGGAGCAGCCCTCTCAGCAGACTGGGTACCTGGGCAGGATTTTGGCCCAGTAGTTGAGAGAAAGGCAGGCTTTGGTGTCCCACAGAGTTGAGCTCAAATCCCATCTTGACCACTCACTGGGGGAATTTTTTTTGTTTTGTTTTTTGTGGGGTTTTTTTAGAATTATTCATTTAATTTTATTATTATTATTGCAATTTGCCATAGGGCATATGTGCAAGAGAGAGAGAGGGAAAGTGAGAAAACAAGTCACCAGGTCCAGGACTCAAACCGCAGGTGGCCATGTGGGAGTCCAGGGCCTTAACCACCATGCCACCTGCCGGCCCCTCACTGGGGTGTCACTAGTGGCCACCTCCGCCACTTCTGTTTGATACATTTGGAGCAGGGACTGCACTTTTCTGGGCCTCAGCTGTTCAGTCTGCAAATGGAGAAGACTCACGGTGGAAGGAGCGTACACCTCAGGGGGCTGCGCAGGCGCTTTGCAGCCATCCCGCGCCGTTCTCACCCAGGCTGGGCTGGCCTGGGAGCACTCTGCCGGCCTGGAGGGTGAGGCGCTCCAGACCTGGCCGGGTAGGAACGTGGGCACACCTGGGGAGCGGCCCCCACAGCCGGTGCTCTGCTGCCTGTCCTGCACCCCTGGGCGCTGTCCTGAAAGACAGACTGCTTATTCAAGAGTCACTTCCCCTTCCCGGCCCCTAGTGATCAAAGGCGTGGAGCCCGCAGCTTCTAATGGCCGCAGGGCACGCCAGCCCTCAGCAGGGGTGCAGGGCCTGGGATTCTCGCAGGCCCCTCACAGACCCGCAGGAGTGCTCGAAGCCTTTTCAGAAACGGTGACAAACAGGAGGACACACCCAGGACACCCAGCGCCCTCACACCCAGAGGTCGCCAGGCCTTTTAGTGCAGTGGCACTGGGGCCACTTCCACGTGTCACTCTCCATGTGGCCAGCAGATGGGGCAACGATGACAGAAGACCCAGGGAGCTGCCACACAGAAGGCCTGCCTCGTGCTGCCGAGCCGGAAACGATTTACAAAACGAGTTTTAAAATGAATAAAATCTCCTGAGGAAGATAGACCTGTTCCCAGCATGTCACTTCCTGTCACCTGCCCAGACCAAGGCAGGTACCGAGCTGCTCATGTCCTCACTGACTGTTGTCACATCACAGCGCGTAGGTCTGCCTTGCAGCTGCTGCGATGCATATATGTGATTATTCAGTTGTCGCCCCACTGGCCCGTGAGTGAGGTACAGCCAAGGCTGTGTTAGTCACCATTCTGTCCCCAGTGGGCACAGAGCAGCCTCAGGGCAGAACAGGCTCCAGGGCAAATCTGGGATGATGAACCTGAGAGCCCAGAGACAGGAGTGTCACGCCAGAGTCTGAACAGAAGCGCAACAGGCCTGCTGTGGGCTCGGCGTGCTCGGGGCCCAGGTTCTGGAATCCATATGGAAGATCGGGGCTCAGTTCCTGGTCAGCCTGTACACACTGGGCCCACGTGTGTGCCCCTGATCCTGGCCAGCTGTGTGAGACCCCATTAGGGTGCTTCTGTCTCTCGTCATGAAAGAAAGGGAAAAGGGGAGAAAAATACTTTAAAAAATTACGGGGGCTGGCAGGAGGCATGGCGGTTAAAGGGTTGGACTCCCACACAACTGGCTGTGATCTGAGTCCCGGACCTAGAAGTTTGCTTTCTCACTTTTCTTGTCTCCCTGTCTCTGTCTGTCTCTGGTAAGTGCACATGCCCTATAGCAAATTTTAAAATTAAATAATTCTTTTCAAAAAAAGGCAAGCACTCCAGAAACACTACCTGGCTCGTTTTCTTCAAACCTCAAGTACCCCCTCAGCTGCCCTCGGTTTCTTCTCCAAGAAACCCTCCCTGACATTCCCAGGTGAGGGCACCGTGGCTTCCAATGCTCGGCCCTGTGGGGTGCCATGGCCTAGGAGGTCAGATGGACAGAACTGACCCACCTTCCGGGGTGACAGAGAGGAGCCAAGCACCCCTGGGGACTGGCCTGAGCAGGCAGGTCCCCTCTCCCTTTGCCCCCACCTTGGAATGCCCTCTGCCAGCCCCCCTCTTCACTGAACTTTGTTGGGGGAACAGGGAGCCCATCTTTGGGTCTGTGTCTACTGAGACCCATTCAGGTTTGGTGACAGAGGCAAGATGCTTCCTGACCTGTTTGTTCTTTTTACAAATGGACTTTTTTCAAGAGAGACTTTTGCTATCGGATGCATGCATTTGCCAGACACAGAGAGGGGCGACAGAGGAAAAGAGAGAAATCT